TATCGTACGCTTTCTCCAGATCAATAAACACCATGTGGAGATCCTTCTTCTTATCTCTGTACTGTTCCACCATCCTCCTAATAAGGTGGATAACTTCCGTGGTAGATCGTCCCGGCATGAACCCGAACTGATTGTCTGAAATAGACACCGTCCTTCGCACTCTCATTTCTACCACTCTCTCCCAAACTTTCATGGTATGACTTAGTAATTTGATGCCCCTATAGTTGTTACAGCTCTGGACATCACCCTTGTTCTTATACAACGGGACCATTGTACTCCANTGCATATCATATTTTTGGATGCATATGTCCTTTTGGAGAAGGTTTGTGAGTAGTCCCATGCATATTGGAAAGAAGAACAATCAGAAATGAAGAAAAATATGGTTTATGGCTAACATAATTCCTCTGATATGTATGACCAATACAGTCTTCTAATGAGGCAATGGGTTTATACAATTGAAGATTGGATTTCCTTTTGTGTGCCTATCTTTGAATTTCTGTCTCTCTAACATGTAGATTGCTGCATTGGAGGATGTGAGAAACCAAGTTCTGCAAGGTACTCTTGAGGTGCAGAAGTGCTTTCGTGGTCATCGTGCTCGTTGTTACTTCCATGAGCTGAAAGGAGGAGTAATCACACTTCAATCATGTAAAGCAGATCCCTCTGCAGCTCTTTTTCCCTTTTTCTTTTGAATACAATAGAAGATGATATTCATGAACAATGTTGTGTCTATCAGTTTTTGATGAGTATTTGTCCATTTGAGGACTACATTAGATATCTTCAAAGTGTTGAGCACCAGGTCTGCCATTCTGATGATTTTAGAAAAAGAATAAATATAAAATTTCCTGCTATATGAAGCAATGCTGAAAGTTCCAAAAGTAACTAATGATATAAACCAGTTCAATTCTGAGCTGATGTATCAATATAGTAAAATTTTAAGATTTTCAATGCTGAATTTTACCTGATATTCTGACTCAAAATTCGTTCTTGTAGTTATTCGTGGTGAAATAGCAAGAAACCGGTATAATACTTCGGTGGGGTCTAAGGCGAAGGTGGCTCACAAAAGTGATGAGCAGCTGGTGGCTGTTGTGCAGATACAATCAGGTAAAGTTATTTGTATTGGCATCTCTGCAATTATGAAATCAAATAGATTTACACGTCTTTTTAATTGCAGCTATTCGTGGATGGTTGGCTCGAAAGGATCTTAATAAACTGCAGAGTGCAAAAACGTTAAATGTAGACATCCCAAAAACAGGCAGAAAAATGGAAGCCAAGGTACTCTATCATAAAGATTCAAAGATATCCTTACTATTACTAGGTCACTTTGCCTCAGTTTTTGTTCTCTTAATAGAACATATAACAGAATAATTGGTTTTCTATAAAAGCTTTTCCATAATTTTTTATTGAACTTTTCTTCTTTCTTCGTTCAGAATTGTAAAATCTGCTTTGGGACTAATATCTTTAAGAATTTGGTGGCCTGTTTGATGAAGCCAACTTTAGGTATTCCTTTTTTTTTTCCCTTCATTTTTTGGGATATTGAATCCAATTTTGGGNTCATTATTAAGATTGAAAGAAAAAGACAGTGAGGGAACTGGGTAGGGAGGCCTTTTTTGGTTTATGCATTAGTCCTTCCCCACTCCCCTTGTAGAAGCAAAAAAAGAAAAAAAGACAGCTTGCGAAGAGTCACTGACTGATCAATCAGGATAATGGCTTCATTTTCATGCTTTCCTTTTTTCTTAATTCTTATTGCACTATGGCTTCTCAGTCTTGAAGTCTGATATTAGCCTAAATGCAAACCGTGGAGGCAACACTGTAGTCTTTAATATTTTTATTGACTGCTTGAGAACCTAGTTGATGCTGTAGTAAGTTTGAATCTTTTATGCAACCAGGAGTTGCCTCGAGAAATTTTACCTTCTGTTGTAGAAGACCTCGAAAGGCGCCTTTTAAAGGCTGAGGCAACCCTTGGAGAGAAGGAAATGGAAAATGTTGCCCTGAAGGAACAATTAAACCTATTCGAGGCCCGATGCCTAGAATATGAGGTCAAGATGAGGTCAATGGAAGAGATGTGGCAAAAGCAAATGGCATCATTGCAGGTGAGTAAGCTGCAATATGATCCTAGATAGTTGATCTGTTTTTGTACTCCCTCTATCCCAATTTATGTGGTATTTTTCACTTTTCGAGATTCAAACTTTTTTTTCGAAATAAAATTTGCATGTATGGAAACTACGTAAAAAGTAATATAAATCTCAATAATTAAAATATTTAAAAGGCTTATGAAAAATTATATTTAAAGAATAATTCGTCTGACTCTCAAAATTTGAACTCGGTCACCTAAATTGGGACGGAGGGAGTACTTGGTATCCATTGTTCTATGGAGCTCTACTGATATTGCTACTGCTTCTTCTCACATCCGTGGGCCAATTGAGAATTAGTTTGAGAAATGCTAATTTATCCTGAGATAGGCAACATCCTTTTTCTTTACCGTGTCTGGAGAGATATTGGGTGTAAAGATTGCATCCTTGCCATTTCTTTTAATAAGAAGATTGAAGCCTGATGATGGTAAATGGAAACAAAGATCTTCTTTCATTGGTTGGGGTTGGTCTACTTTGTCCCTTTCATCATTCACGTCAGCAGATCTTTTGTTATGAAGCAATATTTTAATTGCTTGGCTGATCACCATGTCCCTTTCATTGGCTGAAAACAAAATTGAAGCCTGATGTTTGTAAATGAAAACAGAATCTTCTTTAATTGGCTAATGGTATTTTATATTTCTATTGGAAATTGACTTTATACTCGTGAATTCTATTTCCGGATTTACTAAGGTAACTGTAACATTTAATGATGAAATTTCTAATTTGGTGATACATCAATTGTTTTGCTAAAGCAGGCTAGTCTGGCTGCAGCCAAGAACAGTCTTGGTGCTGGTGATACTACTGGTCGACCTGGAAAGCCTGAAGGTTCCCCATCTCCTCGCTATTATGATTCTGATGACGCAACATCTATGGACACTCCTGCAGGATGCACCCCAGTTAAATTTACTAACAGCTTAGGTGTTGGAGCTAATAGAGAGGTTAATGGTGGTTTAGCCATAGTCAGCCACCTCACACTGGAATTTGAGCAGCGGAAGCAGAATTTTGACGACGAAGCCTTGGCAATTGTTCACTTGAAACCAGGGCAGTTACATTCTACTAATCCTGCAGATGAGTACCGAAGACTGAAGTGCAGGTTTGAGGAATGGAAAAAAGATTACAAGGTCCGGTTAAAGGAGACAAAGGCAAAAGTACACAAGCTTGGTTGTTCTAAAGCAGGGAAGAATCGTAGAAAATGGTGGGGTAAGAAGAGCAAGTGATTTTAGCTTAAAATCAGTCGTTTTCTTCCCTAGGGTATTTTAAAATATATAGGTGAAACTAATTTCCCCAACTTATGGTTGGTAACATAGCAGAGTTGGTGGAGATTGGGAAATAGTGTGTGCGCTCGGTTATGGATCCTCTGATCCCCCCTAGATAGTTAAGAGCGTGTTTGTGAATAGCCTGTTGTAAACAATGCTAGGTTGTGTAATTACACTAGATAGCTTTGCCAGAATAGGACTAGAGTTTTCTCAGTCCACATGCTTTTGCATTAGCATATGTTGTAATTAGTTGTTACTGAAAGATGGTGATCAGTTGCAGAAATGTGATTACTTGATTGTTTACAACTCCAGAATGAGTGGCCAAACGTGATAGAGAGCGTTTGTTATTCTCATCTCATATCCTGATTCTTGTGAGCTGAAGAAGCTCAAAGTCCATACAGAAAGATAGCATATGCATTCTTCTTCTTGTTTCTCCCTTTAACTCTTTTTGCCATTGTTGACCTAGTTTATTACGTATGGGCTATTCGTGTAACTCGCCCCTTAGTTTAATTCCTGTTAACATGAGTTACTTTAGTTTCAGTATTTTTTAGGAGTTTTTTAAGTCTGCCTGAAATTTATATGCTAGTAGAAAATATAGAGATTGCGTTGTGCTTTTACTTCTAATTTATATAATATTGGGACATGTGATGAGCTTGAATGCACATGGCTAGTGAAGATTAATACAGCTAGTGTTAACTTGCTTGGATTGTGGCATAGTCCTTACCACAAGATCAGTTAAATGAAATGCTAGTGGTATTTATCACATGGCAAAATAGTGCCAAATATTTGCATTCTGAATGAATCAGTGGTACAAGCCTCTTGTGGAGGAAGTCAAAATGTAAAATTTAAGATCCAGGAACAAACTTAGTTGCATAAACCCATGCATTGTTAGCAACAGGGTTGTCAAGGTGATCCAAAAGGTTCTCAAGAGGACCTTTGCCAGTGACAATAGCTTGAACGAAGAATCCAAACATAGAGAACATGGCCAATCTTCCATTCTTGATCTCCTTTACCTTGAGTTCGGCAAAAGTAGTTGGGTCATCTGCTAGACCAAGTGGGTCAAAGTACTGGCCACCTGGGTAGAGATTGTTGCCATCACCAACTCCAGGAAGCCCATTAATTCTGAAACCTTCTACAAGGCCCATTAGAACTACTTGGAAGCCCAACACTGCTAGAATGCTCTGAGCATGGACAAGGTTTGGGTTGCCCAAATAGTCCAGTCCTCCTTCACTGAAGATTTGGGCTCCAGCTTTGAACCATACTGGTTCCTTAAAGTCCACTTTGACCCATTTCTCAAGAACTTCTGGGGTGATGCAACCCAGTGCCCCAAGCATGGCCCATCGCCCATGGATGACCTGGAATTGTTACAATTTTAATCATCATCAATCTATCAACTACATCTCAATCCTAAATTAGTGTCCACAGTTATACAAATCTTATGTAACATTCAGAAGATCAATTATCCTTTTTTACATAATTGTTCGATAACTTTTCTCTTTTATCCGGACTTGAGTAAAAGAAAAAGAAAGTACCTCAAGAGCTCTGTTCTTGGCAAAGGCCTCAGGATCAGCAGATAAACCGGCTGTGTCCCATCCGTAATCACCAGGGAATTCTCCAGTCAAGTAGGAAGGAGTTTGAGCAGAAAAGGGTCCCAAGTACTTGACACGGTCAGGTCCATACCACAAATCATTACTCTAACAACATTGAACAAAATGAGTTCAACTGAATTAAGTATTTTCTATAAAGAAGGAGACGAAAAATTTACCATGGTGAATTTGGCAGAGCCCATTGGAACTACATCTCTAAGAGGGTTGGCATATTTGATCTGGCCCAAGAATGGAGTTGCTCTAACAACAGTGGCGGAGCTGCCGGTTGCTGCCATTCTCTCTTTCTTTCTTAATTTCTCTCTTGGACTTCACATTTGACTAAGTTTCTTGCACAATGTATATATACAACTGCTAAAAATATGGAGGGTCCATCCCAAAGGATACTAGTTCTTGTGTTTAGAAAGTGACAATATTACGTGGGTGGCTAAGATTGCACGGACAGGAAATTGTGGTGTGAGATTTTTTTTGAAGTTGTGCTTGTGCATCAACCAATGAGAAGTGTTTAGATGATTTTAGTATCTCCAAGTCATATCCTCCTATCCAGATTATTATCTTTCTATAGCAAACTGTTAATAACAGAGTAATTACTATACGACAGTTAGACTACGTACTCATGTACTGTTGCACAATCCATCATTACTCGCGTACAAGCAGAGATAATCTACAAATTTTAAAACGTTTTAGTTTAAAATCTCTTGGAAACCTTAAACTCGAACCTCTCCAATTCAAATGTATACTCCAAAATTACTGGCATAATGGAGGTTTCTTTTAGCAGACAGAACAACGTTTGATGAAGTTCTCCAAAATAGTTATTTGAAACTTATGGGTTCAATATTTTAATTCTTTTAAATTACTGAGTTCTAAATTAATAATTTGTGTATAATTCAATAGTTTTTTAAACAAATACGGAGTTTGGACAAAAATTACTGGGTTAAGCTAAATCCGTATCCAAAGGGCTAGCTCCGTGCCCCTATTGCTAATGTATATATGGAGTAGATAACTGAGACAACTGGCAATGTTCATGTTACCATTAAGGCAAATAACTAGAAATTTTTAAATGGTGAAAAAAGCTTATGACAAATAGTAAGCCAGCCTTAATTTGTTCTAAAGAGTTAAGGGTTTGTAATTGAGTTTGGCATAATTATTACGAACGACGATACTTGACTGCTTACAAAATAATGAAAATTTTTGCAGACAAAAATACTAGATTTGAAAATTTTGGACAGTTTGGCATATTCCACTTTAATTAGTTTCTGTCAGACCTTAGTTTATTTCAAAACCGATGCACGGGTAGCACTAATTTTCTTAAATAGTTTCAGCTCATCTAGAATCCTCAATAAACTTTAAAAAAGAACACCAAGAGAAACAAAAATAAAACAAATTAAAACGACACATAATATACTGAATTGGAACATATATAACTTTAAGATTATACGTACCTAAACATTAACGATAAATTTGGCTTATATATTTGCTTACCCGTAAAACGGTATAATTGAATTTATACGTGGTTTATAAACAAGTTAATAAGATCCAAAAATAACAGACGAATTAGACAAAAATATAAGACTTAGCTTTAAAATTGAGATAAACGGCAGATATCTTGGTTCGGGGCGCACAACTACCGGGAGCAATAAGAACAGTGCAAATAAGCAAGAAAGTAAAATGTTATTTGAGCTTTTGATGAAGTATAGTATATGCTTGTCAGAAAATTCGTGTCCTTACAATGATGATAGAGCTCACTATTTATAGTTACACATAAGGAACACGGTCCTAGGATTAAGCTCCCTTTAATGACAATTATGAGGGCCATTGAAGAATGTGTAACGGTGAGCCATATTCTCTGTAACGGATTATGCACTTAATACTGTAGAATATTCTTCATTGAATGCTACCAGATGACGGCATTTATAATGTCTTTATGAGTATCATTCTCTCCGATGACAAGCGGGATCATTGCCTCCGGGTTTGATTATCTTCTGCCTTCGATTTCACATGTTTCTTTCTCATGCGGCCATTAGATATGAACATATTTTTTTCCATATAGATAGTCCCTCTTCTTTCTGGTGTCATAACTTTGTGTCACCGGGAAGTTGGTAGTGATACCTTTCTTGGCGGGAAACTCTCTAACACCCTTTGAAAAGTTTTTGATGGTTGATTAGACGTGTGTCTCTCCGCATTTAATGCCCCGAACACGCGTCATCCAACGATTCAACATCACTTTTGCCGGTTATCGAGGTAATTATGGCCACAATTTTAGCCGTCTATTGCTTTACTTATACACATCAAACTTCTTCATTTACATTTCATAATTCTTTGAACTTTCTCCAACTCTCTTTACTCAACTCGCACTTTGTCTTCAAGCTTTCTTTAACCTTCTTCCTGAGTTCCTTATTTTTGCTGATAAAGAATGACTTCCTCTTCTAAAATCCTAGTTCCTCAAAGAATAAAGGAAAGTCAATGAGGCTCCTCCTCCTACGGTGAGCTCCATCATCCCTAGAAGTCTTGTTACAACTAAAAACTTCGAAGATAAATTTTCTTCTGCTAATCCTCGTACATGGGCCATTAGTTTATACCCTTCTGCCATCCATCCTTCCAGTATTACTACTGTGACGGAAGACTGTCGTTGCCAAAATTTAGACATTATTGCTCCCGACCTGGCGGAGCGGATAACCTTACCCAAGAAGGGTTTTACGTATTTCTATACGTATCCCTTTACTTTGGGGGCATTTTCTTTGAGTAGTGAGATTGACTCCGTCATCGTGGAGTTCTACATCCTCTATAAAGTATGCTTGGCTCAAGTAAGTCCTTCTGTGTGGAGGATAGTCGCTTGTCTTCGACGTCTATGCCAGGAAGAGGAGCTAACCCTAGCTCGATTGCTGAGCCTTTATTCCCCCAAGATATTCTGCGGGGGAATAATGCATTTCAGCAAGCGTGGCCACCATGCTCTGCTATCTATCATGGAATGAAAAGATGCCTTTATGGAGCCCGCCTCCACTATGGACAAAGCGATAAAAATACAAGTATACCACTTACGTGTGAAATTCCATTTCTCAGGAAATGGCAAAAACTCTCCAGGGATAATATCTATTGCTATCGAACCAACTTCTTCTAATTTACTCTAAACTTTCCTTAGAAATAACAATGGCTCCATTCAAAATATAACGAAATCAATCCGCACTCATCCTGAGTGATCCCATTTCACTAGACCACATTGTCTCAAAACCCACAAATCATCTCATACCCTCATTATGCGCACATTCGCATCTTCAACTAGTACACCCATTCTGAAAATTCCTCTATGAATTTCTAAGTTATTTTCTCCCATTCCTCCAATGCTACACTGCAGACCGAAGATAACATAGAACACTCCAAGCCATTTTTATAATCCGCTGCAAAGGTTCGATACTTAACCATACCACGAACTCGAAATCCTTAGGCACTGAGCTTTAATTTTGAACCTACTAGGTCCATTGTTGAGAGTCATGCACTCTAACTTGTTACCGAATATAGTCACACTCCAAGGCCCTGCTAGCACATAAACACCCTCTCCAAGAAGTAACTTACTGAATTCCTTTCCTTATATATCACATTCACACGAAGCATAAACTCTTAAGTCTTCCTAAAACCTGAACATGAACCGATAAGGCCAAAGATAGCACATATTCCTCAAATCCTTTGCTCAAATTACTACTGATTTTTTTTCTTAATCATAATAACCCACCAATACACTGATAACCAGAAAC